CCAGCCATGCCCCAGAGCAGACTCTTTGGGAACCCATCCGTAGCTTCAAAAACGAAAGTCCCCAAACGCTAAGTTGCGGCGCTTGAAGAATCACCCATTCATTAAAAGGTAGCGCCCCGCCCACAGCCGCCAAGCCCCGCCCCCTTCCAGCCTCCGGCCCTGAGATGAATGGACCGCTCCAAGGCTGAAGGGAAGCCCCGCCCCTTCGTTCCCATCCGAGGAGCTGTCCGTCACTCGACGCCATCCTTTGGCCTCGCCCCTTTCCCTCTCCCGCTCATCTGCGGCTGCGCCCATCGGGGGCGGTGCCGTCCCTCGCCCGCCCGCCCACCCTGCCGGCGCATGCGCGAGCCCGAGAAAGAAAAGCCAGGGGGTCGCCATTTTGCCGGGCTCTTTCTGAGGGGAGATTTGAGAGCCGGAGACGCCGAGGCCGCGGCGCCGGAGCGGAGAGTGCGTCCCTGCTGCTTCTGGGAGGCGAACAGTGGAGAGAGAGCCGCCACCGCCACCATCTTGGCGTTCAGGGCATCCGACGGGGCCGGCCGGGCGAGGCCTGAACGGAGCCTCCCGTCGCAGCCGCCGGCAGAGTCGCAGGCAAAGCAGGGCGAGCCTCGCCCCCGACGGTGAGGGCCGCGCGTGCTGGGCGGGGCCTCGGGGACCGTTGCCCCCACGTGACCGGCTGGGAACGCGGGCCGCCGGAAGGGCGGGCGGGCACTTCCGGGGGAGGGGCGGACCGGCTCTTCCGTACGCTCCCCCAACGTGGCGCCCGGGGGATCTCTCGGGCTGCAGCTCCCATCGTGTGGCTGGGGGTCATGGGGAGTGCAGTCCTTCCTCTCTTCAGGTTAGCCGAGGGTGGCCTGGGGATGATGGGGGTTGTAGTCCAGCCTCACTGCGGGCAACGTTGGGCTATGCGAGGACCCCAGGTCGGGAGAGGCTTCCTGACTGTTTAGCCTTGGTGTTTTGCCCCCCAACAACCCACCCGCGCTTGCTCTGCCAAGCAATTCACCCTCCTGCCTCTAGAAACCTGTCTCGGTTTCTGTATCACTGCTTCCTGAAGCACAACCTCCCTGCGGGGTAGGCCAGGTTGAGAGAGGGGCCCCGCAGTCGCCCGAGGAGCGTCTCTGGCTGGGGCAGGGCTCCTGACTCCACAGCCGGGGAACCTGGCAGGCGGCTGGCCAGTTTCTCGTGGTCCTCAGGAGTCAAAAACCTCTCGATGGCCATAATCGATCCCTCAGTCCAGTGGGCCGCGCTGCGCCTCCGGAGGTATCAGTGTAAAAACAATCAGGACCTTTTAAAACGTCCTCCTCTTTCCCGCGCAGGTTCTGGGGACCCGAGATGGCCGCGCAGTCAGCGCCGAAAGTCGTGCTTAAGAGCACCAGCAAGATGTCTCTTAACGAGCGGTGAGGAACCCAACGACCAACTTCAGCTCATAAGATTTTTTTTTTGGTTGTTCTTTTTAGTTTTGTCACTCTGTTCGGTATCCAGAACGACATGGTCTTTGCGATGCTTGTAATCTATCCAGAGGCACACGAGCAGCGGGCAGCTCCCTGCTGCCCCACATCCCACAGCCAACAGTGGTACACCAGGTTGAAAGGGCAAAAATGTCGGTCTGAGGCTAACTTGCAAGCGGTCGTGTGGTGGGATGTGTTCTAAGGAAACCTCGCGCCCTCCTTTTTTTCTTCCACATGTGTTCATATTAGAGAGATGACCCTGCAGTGTGGTAGCATGTTACCTGAGCTGTAGGAGGCTTCCTGCTGTGCCCGAGGCAGACGCATGAGCTCGTGTGGTCTGCCTGTAAGAGGCAGGCAGCTGGCCACTCTGACCAGCCCAAAGGTTCCTTGGGGCCTTGTAAGAGGCAAACGCTTTGCTCCATCATCTGCTTCCTCTCCTCCGCATGCCTTTTTTCTCCTCCTCCTCCTCTTCAGTGTGTTTGTGAGCTCAAATGTCCAACTGATGGCTGAAGCTTATGCTGTGTTCCTCTTCTGTGTTAAATTTTATTCCTAGGTTAATAAGCCTAAATGTAGAGCAGGAGAAGGACTCATCTGTATGAGCACTGGGATGTTTTAACAGCATCCTTTCTTCCCTGGAAAAGGTCATTAGTCTTCTGGATATAATCTGCAGGGCTTGATTCGCCCAGAGGCCCATCAAACCCAGTTTTCTGTTCCAGCTGTGGCAAAGCACAGGGAACAGTCCCAAGCAGACCAAGAGCTTATTATATTTTTAAAGCTGCACTGGCATGGCATTTAATTTCGTTGTACGAGAAGTACGATGACAATAAAGATTACTTACTTACTTAACGCTCTGCTCATCTTTCTACTGGTATCGTAAAGCAAACCGGAGATAATAAATATTCATTATGACTCACGGTTCCTTGTGATTTCTGTTCCTTTCGAAAACCATCCAATTTGATCACCATTCCTAGAGGTTGTGTCAGAGGTACACAGAATGCTTCTTGGACGGTGATATCCGATACACATTTGTTTTTTAACCCTGCAGTATAGGCAGCAATGGTTTCTGGCCAGCTTGGACAGAAAAAGAAGAGTGAGCTAGGATTATGGTTTCGGACATTTGTTCCATCTCATGAGATTTCAGTTTCAGGCCCCTGGGATGGTGACTTCTAAGGGGCTGTAGGGTTGGCCATTCTTTAATTTTAATCTCCACTTGTCCAAGTCTAGAGTGTTGCAGCTTTGTGAATAACCTAGTGATTCTATTCTTAATATTCCCCAAATCTTCCTTTCTTGTCTCCTTACAATCCAGTGAGCGCTTTTCTTTCCTCCTTAGCCTATATCCCCATCTGTAACTCCAAAACTCTGCTTTGTGCCGTGTGTGTTTCCACCTTTGCTTGATTTAATTCAGACATCTGTCTCTGGTTTTAATCTCCCACACTAAGCGACGCCTTTTGAATGTTCTGTCCCTGCACGCTTTGTGGAAAAATGAGGAAAAAAAAAAGTCCCATTACGCTTTAAACGGGATCTTAAGTGTGTACCACCTTATTACGTTAAATTCGTGGGATGCGGCTGCCCCACTCTCAGGGCTGTGAAATGCCGGTTGAAATGGGTTTATAATGAAACTTTTGTTTAAACACCCGTTTTGTTCGACCTTGAAGCTTTACTAATATGCTGAAGAACAAACAGCCGATCCCGGTGAACATTCGCGCCACTATGCAGCAGCAGCAATTAGCCAGCGCCCGGAACCGGAGGCTGGCCCAGCAGATGGAAAACCGGCCTTCCGTCCAGGCTGCCTTGAAACTCAAGCAGGTGAGGCCAGTGGGGAAGAACCGGCCGGGACTGTCAGTGGCTGGATGGGCGGGCCTAACATGGCGGCTAGGTTTGGGTGCGTCCCCTCTCCCTCCAGAAGTTAGGGGTGAATCTGGCAAAGGTCCCTGTGTGCAGCAGATTGGTATATCTGTCATTTTTGTTCTCTTTAAATGGTGCGTGGTCTACAAATTCATTACGAGGACTCTAGGGAGTGTTAGATATGGTGTGAATGAAAGTGGCCCCTCTTCTTAGGAGCTGTGCTTGGTCCCCTCTCGTGAGGACGCTGCAGTCGAGGGAAGTAAAAATTAAATAAAAAGGGCCCAGCAAGAGAGTCAGAATCCTGTCCCGGACCAAGATGGATTTTGCTTCCTTTCCGTTTGAGACTGCGTTGGCTGAGCCCACGTGGCGTCTCCCTTGCTTGATTGTGATTGTTTAAAAGAGCACTGTTGTCATCATTCTGGGCTTGTTTGAACTGAAAGCCCCCTCTTGGGGGCAAATTCCATTGCAGTTCCTTCCAGGGTGGTGGCTGGTGGCTCCGGCTTTTCCACCCTGCCTGCAGAGAGGCATTTTGAAGATCCACATTGCCCCCCAGGGTCGTCTTCTGTGAAGCTGAGTTGAGGCTGAGGCCCCCTTTCCTTTTCTTCTGTCCTTTTGGAGTGGGGTGCTCCGGAACTCAAGCCAGAAATTTCTGCCTGCAAAGCCTGTGTCTTAAGCAAGAGTTGCTCAGTCTCCCCTTTTTCCTGCCCTCGAACTGACTTCATTTTGTGTCCTCCAGCCATTGAACTAAGGTTTCAGGAGCTGCTTTATTCCTGCTGCGAAAGTTGGAGAGCCGTGTGATTTTTCGTGATGCTGCTAATATGCAAATTTCTGCCTTATAGGTTATATAACGTAGTTCATACCTCTGTGTGCCGTTGAACGCTCTGCTTGTCTGTGCTGCATTTCCCTTTTCTAACCCTCGCTTCTTCCAGAAGAGCCTGAAACAACGTCTGGGAAAAAGTAACATCCAGGCACGCTTGGGCCGGCCAGCAGGACCCCTGGCTCGTGGCGCGTTAGGACGGGGGCTGCCAATGGGGCAGAGAGGCTTGCCTCGAGGGGCCATGCGTGGGGGCCGTGGAGCACGGGCGCTGCTGCGTGGAGGAATCCCCCTGCGAGGTGAGCACACTCTGGCTTAACATGAGACCTCCTAATGTGCCTTCCTAACAAGATTGCAATTTGTGGTTTTCTGTGCTTGCAATATGTGGCGTCTTAGTATCTTCGGAGTAAATAGTGAACTTGAGCAGGGTGTGGTGGGGGAAGTGGCAGGCAGTGAGCATGTGCGACTGGCCCTTCCTGGCCCAATTCTTTGCTCGCCTTGTGAACTAGTAAGAAATGCTGCTTGGCATCTAAAGGGCCCAGTTTGTCTTTTCACATATCTCGCCCCTGCGGGGGCAGAGAGAAACTTAAGGCCTGTGTGCTGGAGCTGGGCTTAAAACCACATCGCTGTCAAACAGACCGGCCCTTGGACAGGCTTTGATTTTGTGCTTTTTCTGGAGGCAGCCCAAGGAGGGGGGGATCTGGGAAAAGATTCTTTTCTTTTTGCCTCGGAGAAGGTGTGAGCTGTCGCCTGACGAGGCTTGGGCGTGTATTGCTGGCTTGAGTTTACTAGCAGGGCTGTAATCTGAAAAATATCCTCTCTGCTTGAACCTTCTCCTCGCCCTCTTTCAGGACAGAGTTTGCTTCGGGGAGGCCGCGGGATAGCCCCCCGGATGGGCCTGAGAAGAGGAGGCATGAGAGGCCGAGCGGGGCCTGGCAGGGGTGGCCTTGGCAGAGGAGCCATGGGGCGCGGTGGAATTGGTGGCAGAGGTGAGTGAAACGAACCCTAATGAGATGCCTGTGTTTAATTGGTTTCATGCAAAGCGCTTTTCTGAAAACAAGAAGGCTAGGAATTCCTCCTTGCTTCTAATGGATCCCTCTTAATGGTGGGGACGATAGATCACCAGGCTGGTTCTGCCATCCAGTCTCCTCCACGCGGCTCTGTGGGGTATTTTCCAGCGTGTCTTAATCTCTCGCTCTCCCCCATCTCTTGCCTCCTAAGAATGGAAACGCCTATTTTCAGAAGGGGCTTGTAAATTAGGAACCTAGGTTGGCTTGTATTGCCAGTCGCTTTACTCCGGGCTAATCTCTCACACCGTCCAAGTCGATATTCTCTTTGGGGGCCGAAAAGGCTCCCCGAGGCTTGGGGATCGCTGCGGGCGGCGGGCATCCAATGCTCTGTGTTTCTTTCTCCTCGCAGCCTTCTAACCTTCTAACCTTTCCACTCCAAGGTCGTGGCATGGCTGGCCGGGCCAGAGGGGGCTTCGGCGGCCGCGGAAGAGGCCGAGGCCGGGGCAGAGGCGCCACTCGCCCCGCGCTGACCAAGGAACAGTTGGACAACCAGCTGGATGCATACATGTCGAAAACGAAAGGACACCTGGACGCGGAGTTGGATGCTTACATGGCTCAGACAGACCCTGAGACCAATGACTGAGACTTTTTGCTGTAGAGCCTTGCGGGGGGGGGGCGGCACGGTGTGCGTGTGTCTGTAGATTGGTCCTCTCCCTCATGGCAGCCAAGAACACCAGCTCCTCATGCTGGGGAGCGCCTCCAAGCAAGAAACGTTTCCCTTTTATTATTTTGATGCTCCTGGTTGTAGGAAATCCTAAGGCGGAGGGGGATAGATTTGTCCACAGACACACATTTCTGCAGCACCTCTAAACACGGCGTGGCTGGCCAGCTCCTGAGGGCCTCCCCTTTCATTAGCAGAGCAGCAGCGTTGCGTCGTCCCCAGCCCCCATCTCCGCCCTGCAGCGGAGGAACATTGCATGTGGTCCCCTTCCCCAAACAGGCCTTGCAGAGTGAGGGGCTCTGCCCGCGGGGTTGCTGAATCCTAGACTCTCCTGCCCTCCCCGGCCGGCTTTGGGGCTGGGAGCGCAAGGTGGCAGGATCCTCCCCTCCGCTCCCCTTCCCTCCCCTCCTCGGGGGAAAGTAAAGAAAATCAGGCCCAAGTTGAATTTGATTCTCCAGATCCGACATCACTAGAAGAAGCCAAGAGGTTTTGTTTTATTTTTTTTAATTGCGACATAGTCCTTAGTAATATGGTTGCGGGGGGGGGTTTGCGTGCGTTTGTGTGTTCGAGATGCCAAGGAGACGGTTGCTCTTCCCCCGCCCCTCCCTGCCATCTGCAGTTTTGTGAACTCGTCTGTTCCGAGCGGCATCTTGTATTTCTCGGTTTACTGTAAGAAACAATTGCAGGGAATTGAAAACGTGGGTTGCGTGTCTGTGTTGTTCTTGTTTTAGAAAGCGGCTGCCCGAGTCTTGAGGGTTCCCAAGGATGAACTGCAAAGAGATCTTGCAAAGAGGGCTGGATTGTGGGGGGGGATGGTGTGGATCTGCAGATCCTTTCCCTGCTGGCAAACCTCTGCTTAGATTTCACAACCCCCCCCCCCCCAGCGTAGTTTGTTCCTTAAATTTCCTGTTCTGTGTATATGGCCTTTTTATCTTGACTTCTTTAAATAGGCAGGGGAGTCTCTACGATGCTTGGTCTGTCTAGTTTTGTTTTGTTTTATTTATATTTCAAATTTGCTCACCACCCATCTCACTAGGAAGCGACTCTGGGCGGTTTGCAGCAAAGACAAAAACTAAATATTAATTAAAATACAGTAAAAATAGAAGGTCACGGAGCAAAGTCTGCATCTCCGCTCCCTTAATCGTGCTCAGGCCTTGATGGATGGTCACCTTTGGGGGGGGCTGAGAGACTCGGGGGCCTGTGAGGGATTGTCCTCTGTGCCCCATTATAGCTTGTCAGCTTTGCGCCATCTCGTTCCGTGCTAAGATTTGGAAATACGACGCCAAGTGGTTTGCGTGCCCTACTAGCTGGAGGGTTAGTTTGGTGCTGAGATGAAACAACGATCCAAGGTTTGGGAACTGCCTTTCCTGTCCCGCGTGCCCCGGCAGCCTGCGGACAAGGGGCCAGAGGGGTCCATCAGCGGGGTCTATATCTTGAGGGAGCAGCCTGTGCTAACAGCTGCAGAGGGAACTTTTGTTCCCCTCCCACTAAAAGCGGCCTGACTTAATGGGAGAGGTACCCAGGGAGCCTTCAAAAAGTTGCTTTTCTTGGGGAGATTTCCCCCTCTGCTCCAGCACGGTGCAACTCGTCCCCTCCAAGGCGGCCGCTGCGGAGCCTGTAAGGAGAAAGAGGGTTGCGGGGCAAAGGACTTTCTCCTAAATATTAAAAGTATTTCGAACCGCCTTTCGGTGAAAATGCCACAGGGAGAGCGGGGCGCGCAGCAGGTTCCGGGAGGACTCCATTTCCCAGCGCGCCCTTCACCAGGCCCCGCCCTTGGGAGTTCTGGCGGGGGCCTTCGCGAGCTTCGGCGGCTGCTGCTGCGCGGCCGCCCCGACGCCTTCCCGTCAGGCTGTGCGCGGGCGAGGCTTCCCGGCAGGCTTTGCGGAGGCAGCGATGGCGGCAGCGGCGGCTTCGGGGCTA